ATTGTTTACCCTTATGTCCACATAAGTTATACTGCAGTTATGATATAGTGTTTTAAAAGTAATTACAGTTTTTGTAAACGTAAAAGCTTATTGTAATTTTTAAAAAAATTTTTACATGGATCAATGTTGATTATAATATTCATAAATTCGGTCAATAGTATTCCAAGATCAATTTAAAACAAAAACCAAAAGGAAAACAAAGATGACCTAGTTGTACAATTTTCCAGTGATAATTTATCAGGAACTTTGTAAACCTGAATAAAGAAAAGACCCGTTTCACATGATACGTACATTTAGACATCGTATGTATTATACCACGAATTTTTTCTGTACGCTGGCAAACACATTTAAAAATAGAAGTACTCAGAAACTTTTCGCAAGACTATTTATGTATATATATATTTATATGATCACTTAAATTAAAAACTGGTGTAACTTTAAAAAGATCATTTTTGGAATATCCTAGTACTCTTTATCGCGAAGAAACGCTCATTTTATGAGATGATCGTTTTCGACAAATCTATTTTGGATATTTTCCTACGAATCTAAATTAATAGTAATTCTAGAAACAAGAAACTACTATCAATCATTTATTTTACAGATAAAATTATTCTAATATCGTAAAGAATGTAAATCGTAAAATAATTAACATTATAATTACACATGAGGTTTTTTCTATCCAAACATTTGTTATTAAATTTAATTACTAATTAATTACATAATATTCATAACTTTCTTTTTAAATTTATAATTTGTATTTTTAATTTTAAAAATTTAAATAACCAATGTAATAAATACTTGATTATATTTAAACAATAGTTCAACTTAGTTTCTAAATTTAATCATTTTTCATTACCCAATATAATTATTATATTTTTATGATATGAAATGTACCTACTACATTTTTCATCATCATTGATTTAACAATTATGATTTCTGTAACTTAAATTCATATAAAATATCCTCCTATTAAAAAAAAAAATCACTTAAATATTAAACACTAAATAATAGCTATCGTGTTTTGCCATGTTATATTAGTACCATTTTAGTTGAATTGCCATTGGGGTGGGAGTAAAAAAAAGAAAAAAGTGAACGAAAACTGCCTATTGTTTAAAGGGTTAAAGGTGACGTTCGTGTTTATAGTCGTAAGACATTAGGTTACCAGGGTAGGATTACGGAATGGGGAAGGGAGATATTGGCAAAAACAAGAGTCGCGTAGATGTGAAGTCATTAAAAACAGCGGCTATTATGCATTTCACCAGTCGCGTGCCAGTAAGTATAGTGTGCGTACCCCTATTGCAACTACATAGCCAACGGTCGCCGGGTGGGAATTCAAGGTAGACTTTCTTTCTAAACAATGAAAACAAAAAAAAAAAAAAAAACAGGAGAAAATCCTTTCACGTGCACGACGAGGGGTAATTTAGGAAACCTTGGTAATTTATTGGAGGCATTTCAACTAATATTAAGTCGAACCGACACCTTGCACCTATACCCAAACCGACCATGGGCGTGGTTTCATATTGATGATAAATCGTTCATGCATTCAAAATTAGAAGAATACTTGAGACTTTATGAGATTTTTGAGTCTATTAATCCTACTAGTGAAATAATAATATAAATTGAAAGTTAATGAGCCAAGTATTTATATGCATGGTGGTTTAATATATTTTTTTATTTTGACCACGTTGATTATACATTCGTTGAAAATAAATAACTTAAGTAAGTTAATTTTAAATATATATAATAAATTTTAAGACTTTTCATGGTTATTAAATATCTATTTCTTAATCGTTTTAATGGAATTGTGGTTTTCGTCGATAAATTAATAATTTCCATTTAAAAAATAGTCTAAAGTACCTATATGTTTATTTCATTAAAGAAATTGTGATAGAAAAAAAATAATAGAAAAATATTTTTAAATTTAATTTATAATTTGATTTTATTTAGAATTGCTATATAAAAAATATTTTATCCATCCCTCTTAATAAATCCTTAAAAACTTATATAATACGTTAATAACAGAATATGTTTAAGCTTTTTATTATTATTATTATTGTTGTTGTTATTGTTATTGTTTTTGTTTTTTGGCTTTTAATCATGAGAGAAATAGATTTTGGATTATTTAAAAAGTGTTTTCTACTTTATCGAATAATACCTATACGTTTCTTGAGTTAGATGACAATACTTAACTACCTACTTACTGATATATAATTAATTTACTTATTGTCATTATTATCTTGTTTACTTATACAAAAAATAATATGATGTACTTTTAATAAAAATAAATTTGCTTTTTTATAATTTAAATATGTTAATCCTAGTTCAATACATTTATTATAATATTCTACATAATAATAAGTTTAACATTACGTTACATAAAAACCACGAAAGATTATTCTAATAAAGACGATAAATAATTAAATACAAAATCTTAATGCAAATACTAAAAAAAGTTATAACCGAGTGTCCATTACAAAATTAAGAGAAGAAAGTAATTAAGTTTTTTGTGTGGGTTTCAATCCACTTCGAACGAGAGATGAGAACAAATAATAAAATCATGTTGTAAGATAAACTGACTAAAGTGAATGAAGAAATCTTCTATTGTGGGCAATATTAAAGCAAAGCCAATAATTTAGCTGGATTGTAAAATTAAATTAATGTTTCAAATTAAGATAAATTAAAATGTTTTTAAAATTATATTTCAGTTAATCAATTTACTTAATTTTATAATTTAAAATTTTTCAATTCCTTCATAACTTTTTAATAAGTTTTCTTCTTTTTTATAAATTGTAGTACCTACTTTAAGTTTTTTTTCAAAATAAAAGTAAATAACTTAATTTCAAATATTCATTTCGACTTTACTTTCGAATAATAATAGTTTATTAACTCGCTCATATTTTTTTTTATTTCAGACCTAACAAAAATATAATTTAACCATAAACAATTAAACCACATTAACGCCATAGCAATACGAATAATATTTATATTGAATCAATTTTATTGGAAAATACGACCAAAATTATTTTAAAAAATACGTTGTAATTTTATACAAATCATTATTGCTATTATTATTCAGTATTTTACTTGAAAAATTAATTGTTTGATTTGAGCTGGTACCATGAAGATATTGACGTCAGACGTTTTTTACGTGCTATATTTTTCATTTTTTTATTTAAATTTTTATTATTTTATTTATTTTACATCCATTCAGTGCAAGAACAGTTATGTATTGTGCATTGAAAATATTGACATTGACAATTGACATATTTCGAAAGAGAGGATTAGAAGTTTCTAGAAACTCAAACATAGATATTTCATGGGTCAATCGTGCTGCAATAACTGTAACTTTGTATGGTACAAAATATTTTTACGCCTGAACTCATAGACCCTTACTGCATTAGGTAGATGATGTTATATTAGATAAAACATTTTAAAACAGCTTGTAATTACTCGTTCTTTTTCCCTGTAAGGGCGGTAAATGAAATTGTATTTTATCGTTTAACTATCACTCTCCCAATTTTAATTAAATTTATTATTTATGGCCCTGTGGATTGTTGTATAATAATACATATTATAAATAGCTAAAGAAAAAAATCAATTACACGTCCCCTCTAAAACATTTTATAACGTGTATATCACGTGATTTAACACTGGATAACCGTATAACCGAACACCGGAGATCTTTAAATCTACGTCATTATTATTCATCATCAAACATTTTAGAATCTATGAGACAGCTAAATTTGTTTAATATACAAATTTATTTTTAATGAACATGGTACAATATGTATCAATATTTTTATATCACTTAAATGTGTATTGACATCGTAAATATATATATAATTACATTTTTTTCTACGTTTTATTTTATGAGATCAGATTTTAGAGTAAATATAATGTAACAATCAATTGAAAATATAAAATAGGCTATTATATTTATATCTATGTTATATAATTAATGGCAACAAAAAATACATATTATTTTTAAATATTCCAATAATACTCGTACAAAACTGTTTCAACAAATTAAGTAGACAACTACAAGTGAATCAATTCTATTGTGATTTCAAAATTAGTTAGTTTGTATGACTACTTGTAATTTTAACGGTCTTACCATTTATCAAATCACACGTAAATAAATTATTAGCTAATTAAAGAAATCATTACATACATTCGTCAATATTTATGTTAAATAATAGAAAAGTTGATGTTTTTGATTTCAGTTTTGATTTCGACTAAAATATGACAATTTAAAATAGACTTCACTTGAATCTTTTTAAAAAAATTTAGTTAATTTATGTAAAAATAGCTTAATTAAGAATTAAAATATTAATATATTAACTGACATATGATTAAAGTGGTAGATTTATAAAAAAATATTCAGCATGTAGATGCTAAAAACAATATTTTTTTCGAATTCAGGTTTAAAAAGTACATTGATTTATAGTTTCGTTATCATAATTTGCCATAGTCATCTCCATTAACCCTTAAAATAGACTCTAGTTGTAAGAGCTGAAGTGAGAGCTATGATTATAAATTACATTGAACAGCACAAATTAAATAAGAAAATTTACAGAACATAATATAAATAAACAGATTCAACGAAATTAGTGACTACGTTCTACAATAATATATGCGCGAGTTTAGGGAAAAACACTCGATTTAATTGTCAGGACTACACCAATAAAAATGCGTAACACTAAATAACAAATACTTTTTATAATTAACACTTCACCATTAAGGCAAAGACACGAAAATGCTGTTAAATAACTTGAAGAACATTTTTTTTCTCAATTCAACTTCATTATTCTACTATAATTTAACTCGATAAATTTAATTTCCTTAAAAAAAATTGGATATCCTAGAAAAAAAAAATTTAATAATTATCTGAGATAAAATATGAATACACAGCAATAGTGTGTTTTAATAAAAAAATTACATTTTAATTTTCTTTTTTTTTTTTTTAAACTATTCTATATCATTATGATTTTATTTTACAGTGAACAAGATATGGAAAGAATAAAATGTTCATGATTCGTTTATAAGCTACATTTGAAGATGGCTAAAAGTATGCCAGCTAGAAAAATATCCTTCGTTGTGTCAACGTTGCTGTTACTTATTACAGAACCTTTTGGTAAGTATATTATAACAATTAAAATTTGACGAATTAAACACCTATATTAAGGGAATTGACAATGCAATGTGTTTGATAACTGTTTAAGTTTTGTTTAACAAATTGTTTCTCCTTATCATGGGAAAGAAATTGTTGAGTTAATTCATATTTTCTGTTATATTCACATATAGTTTTAGGTAACCACATAGTATTCTCTGCACGATTCAACGGACGAACGTTGAATTTAGAAGAGCCAATTGGTAAATTATCAATTATTCTCATCCAGTAGAAATGAACAAAAATTAATATTAATAAAGTATATTAACAGATGTAGAATTTTAATAAATATCCAACAAAATATTTTGGTAGATAATTAATGAATATAATTATTCTTAAATAATAATTTTTCTTAAAAAATATACTTATACAAATATTCAGTATTTGTAAAAAAACAAAAAAAATATTCACATACTTATAATAGAATCTAGTGATAAATTGAAATTTACAAAATGACAACTATATAAATTATATAAAATTCCCATAATATTTTGTATTACATTTAACAAACTTCATCTTAATGAAGCTCAGTTCACCTAAGATTAGTGAAAATTATGTTATAATTTAATACTAAATTGAAAGTTTTTTAATTATAATATAATATAAATAACATATAATATACAATTTATAAATAATAAAAGTAATAGATAAAATATTTAATTTTTTTACTTTTGAGCAAAAAAAAAATGAAAGCATTGGCAAATCAATAAATCTAATACTCGGAGACCTAAAAAACTACAACATGATGTAATCACTTTGGCTCTATTTGGTAGGTAACAAAAATATTTATGATATACTGTTAGATTTCAGATCCTAATTAATCATCACGCCTCAAAAACTGTTTACAGAGATCACTTTATTAGTATTTATGTTATTTTTTAAACTTCAAAACTTTATTAATTTTAAACTAAGTTTTAAAATTTATTAAGACAAAATTATGTCATGAAATACTTTCATTTAAAATAAAAATTATAAATATTATCTTAATATAAAAGTTGTATTATTATTAAATTCATACAGTTTGTTGGGATTCAAATGTTTTTGTGCTATTTTTTGAAATCAATGCTTTCACAATAAATTCATTAAAATGCTTTATGAATATTGCCAAATAATTAAATATTTCAGGCTCTTATTTTAATTTTATTTTTTTTTTTATAAATACGATTTTAAATAGTACTTTTTACTATCGTATTTAGAACTGAAAAAAACATCAAGTTAAAATTATTTTTGAAAATTAAAAATGTAAAATAAGAACCAATAAGATATAAAGTATATCTTATATAAAAAATATGAGTATATATATATATATATAGGTAAATCTATTCCTTCTTAAAGTTTTAGACGTTAAAAATGTAATAATTTTCATCATAACACGGTATATAAATGATAGTTTTATAATTATTAGCATAATGATATTTTATTTTCATTTTAATTATTTAATTTAAAATATTAATAGTAAAGTTGTGATTTTTTAAATATTACTAATTTAATATATATGTATATATGTACTCTGGAGGTGAACCATGTCACAAATTAGTAATATTACAGAAAGTCAAATTTTCAATTATTTTCATCTAAATATTATTTTTTTTTTCTTCGTGTCTAATTCGAATTACTTTATTGCTTCTTATTTTCGTAACTTTTGATAACTAGACGTAATGACTTATACCTTTATATTGAGCGAAAAATGTACAATGACATGAAGCTAACTAAATTTCTTCAAAAATAGACATGGTTTCCTTTACCTTCGGAGTACAGATATATATATATATAATTGAAAACCAAATTGATATAATATGTACATATGTAAAAAAAAATATAATGTAGTTCATTTTTTGACTTATTGACTATACTTAATATGAAAATATTATCAAAATATACAACTAGCTGTTTCAGTTAGTGGACAGTGATTTTATGTGCTTATAAGTTAGAGTGGAACTGTTGTAAGGCGTTCACAGATTACTCGCAGTTTACTGGCCGAGGGTGGTTGGGAGACGTTTTTTCATTTATTGTTTACTGGAGGTATTGATGAGCTTTTTATAAGCTGGATATCCTTTATAAGATGCTAGATGAACCCATGCACAAAGCGCATTCGGCTGATAAATTGTGATCTTTGGAACACTCATCGGTGGAGTGTTCTTTGCCGTGTTTGACGAAACAAAAGTGAAAGTGGCAGCGTATGTATGTGTATCCATGCAATTGACAGTTTTAAAATTGTGAAGGGCCACGTTTCTTGGGGAATATCACAATGATTACAATCATATTTTATAATTATGATATACTATAGATATCGTTAGCATTATTTTAAGCTATAAGATGCCCCAAAAAAAATGGAAGAAGAAAATTATCTACTAAGTGCTTTACTAAATGACCTTATTCGAACGGAACCGCAGAAATTTGAGAAGAATAATGCAGATTTCGGTATGAACGAAGACACTAAGAAAGAAAAGTATGAACACTGAAGCCGGTTTTTTTCTAAATTAATCAGGATTGCGTAAATACTGATAACGCCAGTGATTCATACAATATTATATTATGACGTAAGCTTACACTTAAATCCGTTTGAAGTAGTATCTTAAAAGTAGTGTCTCTGAATAGCATCTTTATTATCATATCAATGAAATCAAAGAGTTTAAACGTAAATAGCCATGTATCTTTAGACTCAACTTTGTGTTCGATAATCGGTATATTATCTAGCCATTTAGTTTATCAGTAAAGTTCATTTAAAACGAAACAAAAACATTGACAATATTTTTTACTGAGACGGTAAGGTTGTTTAAAGAGATAAAATGTTTTCTTCAATTCTGACGTGGTGAGTTTGACAAGTTGAAATAGACACATTTGGAAGATATACGAGACGAATCTAAACTAGTTTTATGGCTCATAACTACTGAAATAATTTGAATAAGGTCGTGTTTATAAATATATTGCGAACTAAAGGCCATAACAGAGCGAATGAAATAAGTCGATCTCAAACATTATAACACGTATAGTGGATATCTGTGCACATTTATAATAATACTTCATATTTTTAATTAAATATATGAATATAACCACTCTTATTTGATCACATCTGCAGTAAAATGATACATTAAAGAGCAGAAAAAACGTTATTAAATCGTAACAGTAATATTAATGCAGTTTTATTGTCCATTGGTATAATTTACACTAAAGCAACATAAGTATCAAGTGTTATCAAACCCTCTCCATAACATTATTAAAATTAATAGCAATATTTAGACATTTTAACCTTGTGTATAATAAAGATTAAAATAATCTCAGATTACTTAGACAGCGCAAGCTTAGTAAAAAATCTTGATTAATTTTAATAACATAATTATACATTTTGTAATTATTATTTTCTTAACCATGAAAGTCCTAAATATTGGTATAAAATTTACCAAATATCTGACATTTTAAATATAGATATTACATTTTCAAATACAAAGAATTACAAAAAAAAAATGGTTTTATACGAATAAAAATAAAATTAACATGTTTTCATTTATTCCATTTTTACAGACATTTCACTCCCTGACATATTCATTCATATTGATATGCATGAAAATTAAAAATTATCTTAATGAAAAATTTGTAATTAATTATTATAATTATTCATTTAATAATATTTCAAAACTCTACGTACATAAAATATCAACAATTTTTTTTTTAATTTTTTTTTTTTTATCTAAATAATTTGTAAATACAAGTATTTTTTTAATGTGAATAAAATGCAAGAAATATTTTAATGAGTATTTTTGTTAATTAATTATAAATGTATTTCGTTAAAAAAAAATGTATTGAACAATTAATAATTGACAGAATCAACACCACATTTTTCTTCAATAATAAAGAATATGGAATTTTAAATAGAAAGAATTTTACATACAGGTTTATGGTAAAAAAATTAAAAACTATTTAAATTCAAAGTACAATAATTTAATGAAAACACTTAAAACATTATTATATTTATAAAACCAAATTGTAATATTATCAATTGAAGCAACTTAATGGCTCAAAACTAATGTGAACTTTGAATACATTGAATAAAAAGAAAAAATTATAATAATGAATATAATGACCACTTGTTTAGTCTTAATTTCATCGTTAAATTGACTTTATTCTGGGTGTATAAAATAATAGTCAGAAAATATTTTAATTAATTTTCACTAAGTGGTACTTAAATAAAATTGTCTACCATCGTAGTTCATAGACGTGGTGTCTTCGGCAAAGGAACATACAGGGAAAATAAACTCCTGTCACTACGGTCGTTACGAGAATGTGTTGATTAGTGGTGCGACACCCACCACTGGATAACATTCAATTATTACTGGGAGGCACTAGTGTCACGTACTTTATATGTTAAAATATGTTCTGCCTAGATTTTTTTTTGGTTGAGCAAATGGTCTTACATGAGTTATAGCTCGTAAAATTTACCCACGAGTATTCAAACATAAAATTTTACATAAAACAATAATACATATATAATATATAAATTCCAACACGAATAAAGACTATAATCTTTGATTGTAAATACTAGTACAGTGTACTTTCGATTATCCATGGTCTTCTCCAGAACGAACCATGTACATACATAAAGAAAAAATGTTTCTTTGCATAATACATATATACATAATTACGGTTGAATTAATTATTAAAAAAATTTCAATCGCAAGTTGAAGATGTTTTTCCAAAAAAATACGACAACTTGTTAAATGTTATTACATTTTGTCAAAATATAAATAGTATAAATTATATGAATTTTTAAATAAAAATAATAGGCGTTTTAAATAATTTTTCTTATATATTATAAATATTATTAAACAAATTGCATGATTTAATTATTTTAATATGATAATTATTGAATTTTCGTATTATATTTATAATCAATCCTATAAAGAATAAGAATTTCCTTCGAATTCTAAGTTGCAGATTATTAAATTATTTATTTTTTGGTAATGCTTTAAAAACATGAATGTTGGGAATCGTCAAATGAGAACTAACCAAATCGCTCTTGGAATATTTATTCACTAAAGTAGATATTGCATAGATGCATCAATATTTGAAAGAAATTAAGAATTATTGCAATCGAAAACTATTCTTAAAGATATGTTTACTTTTAGATTTAAATAACGAAAACGATAAATTTAAAGTTTCTTTAATGGTCAAATTTTTATTTTAAAAAAAATGTAATATTTTCCTGGTTCAAAAGAAAATCCATAAAAAAACACAAATCATACTAAGTATAATATATTTCTAGATCAAAACAGTTAAAAATTAATAAATTAATAACTAATTAAAAAAAATAATATTATAGATATTTCAGTATTTTAGGAAAAAATAACTTTAAATATTGAATAGATCACAAATTAAATATTTTCAAACAAGTACAATATTCTCTAAACATAAGCGAATGTTGGTTCTTTACTATAATATAGCGACGAAAAACTGTCCCGGTATAATATCAATTTCTTGACAATAATGAATTTTTTTTTTTTTAATTTAGATGTAAGTGAAGCAGTTCAAATGATTGGTGTAAAGATTCCCGCGTACATATTTATTGGAGATTCTGTACAACTATTTTGTAATTATGATTTACAAATGGACAAATTATATTCAGTTTCGTGGTATAAGGACAACGAAGAATTCTATCGATATGTTCCGGCGTCTAAGACACAACTCAAACACAGTTACTACATGGATGGAATCACAGTTGATGTAGGTATTTTTAATTTGTATGCATTGTAAGGACTTGATAATTTCTTTATTCGATTGATTATTTATTTATTGATTTTATTTATTTCAAGTAATTATTAACCATATAATTTTCGAGGAATTAGTTTACTAGGTCATAATGTTGATAGAAATAATTACAGTTAAGAGGTGACCTATCTTTGATCAATATATTATTCTTCATTCACTTGATTTACTTTAAATTTGTACTGTTCAAATTGTATAAATTACATTTTTCTCTAATAAAAAGAAAAAAGTACAGTATTACAAAACAACAGAAAAGTACTATATAAAGATTAGGATAGATAATTAATTGACATAAGTACTATATTATATAATAACAACATTGTAATGAATCAACTAGTTGAATTATTAATCTAAAAATATAAGATAAGAATTACATTAATGCATAACTCGATTAGAGAATTATGAACATTTGAAACAATGAAAAATGATAGCAATGAAAAACGATTTTCGGTAGTTTTAAATATGGTAATTTTAATCGAAAACAAAAGGCAATTTATTATTATCTCACACGAGTCTGTACGAGCCGAACACTTAAATATTAAGATGTCTTAAATCTATAACATTAAGACTACAATAGACATTCGTCCAAGTTTCTTTTATGTTATAAGAGAATACAATTCAACCACTGTTGTGAGAATCAAGCAGTTGATTTAGCCTAGGGTATCTTACACAATTACCATCTATAGTTTATATATGATTCCACTTTAGTTAGGGATATGTGTAAACCAAAACAAATGTTTCATTAATTTAATTAATAATACAAACTTAACTTCCAAAACTATAATTATGTGCTCCGTTTTCATAATCAAAATGCTTAAATTTACCATGATGGAGAAAAGTATTTAAAGTACAAGCCAGAAAAATCAAATAAATTACTTATAGAATAAAAGATAAAACTGTATTTATCTATAAAAAAAAAAAAATACCAAAGTAATTTATCGGTTTTTAAAAATTTTGTAAATGAATATTTTTATTGTTTTATAATTATAAACACACCGTTCATAAATTACAAAGTGCAGTAATTAGCTGCAGTTGTCTTTCAGTAGCATCTGACAACTATAACGTTACTAATTTCTGAACAGGTTCAACCACTTCTGAGGTTTAAATGAAAATAATAAAATAATTAGATTTTTATACCACCAATTAATGAGTCAGTAGAAGTCAAATATGTGCAGTAAAGTTTTAAGTCAAGTAAATTATTATAACCTGAAATGACGTGAACCCATTTTTAACACGCTTGTCACCAGCTACCTGTGGTTGTGCCTTTGTTCTATCGAGTCTCCGTAATTACCAGGATTGGATTTAATAACCTCTTCTATCGCTCTTTTGCCAAAAAAAATTTGCCACCCTTATTCTAAAATCCTTACATACATATATATATAAATGCATGTATTATTGTATCTATAAACAATGCTATGAGCTATATTAAATAAAGCAATCGTGTTGGAGGGCGTTAATGAACGGCCGCACAACATACACAATATTAATGTAAACGCCAACGGCGATGCACAATAATGAAAAAAAAATGAATTACTCAACAATTTTTTTCCCTTAATTTATTTTTAATAATCGCAACAGTCAATCAGAAGAAAAACAAAAAAACTGTCCGTGTGACAATTCCAGTGTAGCGAAAGCGTGAGAGGTGTATTGGTGCACAATACACCAATAAAACAAAAAAAAAATTAAAAAAATAATATAAAATCTAAAGGTGGGAGCACTTAAGTTCCGCAAAGTTATGCGCGGAAAAACAGGCAAGTTCGGTGGCGGTGCAAATCGAACGTCTTTGCGACCATTCCAGGACCACCTCCTATGGTGGTTGATTGGAAAATTAGATGCAGTCGTCGCGGAGTATCCTAGTTGGGTCCCGAGTACTAGGGGCTAATCGCAGCAAGTGTACTAGTTGGGCCCCGGATTTTTATAGGTACTGCACTAGTTGGGTCCTGAATTATTTTAGGTATTACACTAGTTCCTGAAAATTTTTTGGTAAGTACTACATTATATTAATATTTTCCTTCCCATTTTAACAGACTTAGGACTGTCTACGATCATTTTAGAATACAGGTATGGATAAAAATGTTTTTTATGGTTTCTTTTCCATTAAAATATAAATTATTAGAATTGTTATGGTAATAATATTAAAAATATTAAAATTGTATTAATATTATTGTATAATATTTTTATTATTTAATATTACTAATATTTTATTTTTAATACTTTTATTACTTAATAATACTTTATATAATTATAAAAATTATAGAATTTTAAAAAAATTTGGTCCTGTGGTCTAAATAGAAGGAAAATGTTAGTATCATGTAGTACTTACCAAAAAATATTCAGGAACTAGTGTAAACCTAAAATAATTCAGGATCCAACAGGTGAAGTACCCATAAAAATTCAGGACCCAACTATAATCTATTCTAAATAAGTCTAGAAAAAATCGCACATGCAGGTCCGCTGTGATTGGCTCGAATTCGTGATCGGTCGGCGACTGGAACTCGTCGCCGTGTATATAGAGTGTATACGCGGAGTACGTTGTCGATAGGTCGTAGGCAAGCGAAATGGTGATGGTTTAGAAACTACAGTCAGGCTGTATACAACCGAATCGTCGACAACAGCGCTCGCCACCGGCAGATCACGTGACATACCTGTGCGAAACCGGACGCATTTTCGTCCTACATTTTTCCAGACTTATTTGGAATAGACTATAGTATAGTACCTAACATAATTCCGGACCCAACTAGTGTAGTAATTTTAAAGTCGAGACCCAATTTGGATGTAGCCGGTCGTCGACGTCATTGACAATTTCCTGGAAAAAATGAATACTACTTTGTTACAAATAAATAAAAACACAATCCGAGTACACCTAAAATTTTAAACGTAAAAATAAAATAAAAAATTAAGTGTTTTTACTTTATAAGAACAAAATGAATATTCAATACAATCTTTCAGTCTCACCAAAATTTTCCGTCCTATTCAATCGCGTATTAGTTCGCACTACCTTATTTCCGTCCCTAAGTCAATCACCATTTCACCAAACGGTGGCAATATGCTCAGTACTCATCCATCGGGGAAAAAATGATCATTACCAAGCTTTTGAACCAATCGGTTTCCCGCATACATCGATGAAATTTTATATTTTACATTTGTTTCCTTTCGACTTTTTGGTTTGTATGACATACAGACACACATCAAGTTGATTGCCAAAATAAAAATATTAAAATTCCTATAAATTATTGACGTATAAGGTATAATAGTTCTACTTGTACATTTATCACTAAGCTATTTATGGTATTAAAACATGATATTGAATTCTATGCTACGGGGGGCAGTGGCGCACATTCATTCTTACCGACTTGGGTCGAACATATTATATCAATACCCACCACCCACCCATTACCCATAATCATTATCAAAGTAACTCCAATGAAGGTATTTTGAAGATTGAAGTAGTGGGACTTAGCACTTAAGGCATAAGCCTAGGTACAATAGAGTTTCACGTGTTCAAAATTGAAATAAAATCTAGAAAATTGCAAATATTTTTAATCGCCCAATTTTTTTTCGGGGGGTCGACCTATCCCCTTTAACTCATGAGGTGTGCGCCACTGACGTGGGGTTATAAGAATCGTCTACATATACAGTTTCATATACCATAGAAATACACTTTATCTTGGTCTCATTGATGATTCATATTTTTGGGAAACTGATATTTCAATCTGAGATTAATATTTTTAAGGTGAAATTAAATATTAATACTGCAATTCATTAAAAATGATAATGAATCACTCTTCAAAGTTAATGTAGGTTTAATGAATTTTACATAGTAGCCACTCTATAAGATCTAACCGTTCAATTTTCAACATAAGTTTTGTTGTTTATTTCATACTAAATAAAAATTATCACCACTTTTGCAACAATCAAGTCAGTGTCCGTTTGCTTTTATCTGTAATATGTTTATTATAATCTCCAAATATATTATTAGTTCTGTAAGAATTACGAGAAATAACAATTTCATAAATAATCACTGAATAAGTAATGAGTATAGTCTTTTCGGCACAAAGGAAGCGAATTAATGGTTACTTGGTTTTGTATTTTCCTATCATTATTCATCAAACTCATAAAATATGAATATAATTTATACAAACAAAATGATTTGTTATTAAAATACTATTTCGAAACTAACTTAAATTATATAAAAATCTAATACAAATAGTTATAACTTAAAATTAAATACATTTTACATTTATAATGCATTACACACACTATGCATTAACTTATGCACACTAAGATTTTAAAACATTAAACTGATGCAGGATAAACTTGATAAACATTTAATATAATATTTTTAACGATTATATTATTTTTAATTTTTTGTTGGGTTTAAAAAAGTCTATTCAGTGTTATTTAATTTCAAACTTTGGAAGTATATAATTTCTAAGACGAGAAATTGAATAAAATGTCATGAGTATTTTTCTCGAATTATAATTTTAAAATGTCTATCAGCATAAGTACCTTATGACCTTATATACCTATATACCTTAAAACAAGGGCTTAGGTAAGTTTCGTTAATAATATGATGATCAATAATACTTTTGATAAAAAAGTATTACAAGGTTTATAAATTAAAATCACGATTAATTATTTACTGTTATTTATCACCATAGATACAATAAAAGATAAGTCATTTTATTTTTATCTAATCAAATTTTTAATAATGTCTGTCAAACTTCTTGAAAACTTTCCATATACAATATGGTAAACAGAGATTTGCTCGAAATTATAATTCTTAAATAATTGATAATAATTAGCGATTAAAATGTACATTGATATAATATAATTCTAATTGATACAGCAAAATTTCACATACAGCCAATCATTAATAATAAACGAAATGTTAAAATAAATATTAATAATTTTAAAATGTTACAAACATAATAATAACATTTTTTTTTTTTTGTAATAAATCATCACAAAAATTAATCAACTAACGTTAGTGGTCTATTTCAGAAAAAATTTTTATCACACATTTGAATACAAAAATGTTTAATGAATTCTATCATGTTTAAACAGCATTTTAATTTAACCAATAAGTTGACACAAAAAGTAGGTTGACGAAGATGAAACCAGAACGTAAAATCCAATTATTATTTGAAATGTTCAGCTACTACAGCTTTTACATAACTATTAAACGAACCTTTTAGGACATTGACAGCTTAATAACGCAAAATAAGTGAATCAGACTGTAATATGCTCTGGACGCATTCAAAATTCAAAAACGTCCGTTGAACATTATTTCCGATACATTTTAATGAACGCCTACCGCATACACACGACCTATATAACATATTATGTTATACCTGTACATCTATTTATCTATTATTACTGGCTTAAACCGCAGTTGGATTGTCAACGTTTGTGTAATTAGTCGGCGCTGACCGTTGTGTAGCCAACGCCATAATATTTAAATTACAGGGACTGCTGAAGTGATTGCCATGTTCCACGATCGTTGTATACGCGGATAGCATGCAGATAACATTATTTACATTTTTTTATAGTATTAAACTCATCGATCTGCATGAGGAATGTTAAAAAAGATATCGGTGAAATTATTTTGTGTAACTTTTATTCACATTAAAGAAACATGTCAAGGGTTCCTCATACACGTAATTTTGGTTTAGAACTTGCGATAAACTTAAATCGGCCTTCTGCAGCAGTTATAGGTAAAAAAAAAAATATATCAAGAATGAACATAAATATTTATAATGACAAATTTGCTGCAATTTCGACATGAACACATTATACCATATTTTATCAAATTCTTTATCTGCTAATATATTAATTACAAAGCACGAATTAAAACAAAAAATAAATAATTTTTGTAAAATCATTATAACATAAAATGTGGTAATTTCGGTATAAAAAATATTATTAGTAAAAAACGTTTATACGCGTATAACGGTTTTTTTTTTTTTTTGTATTTATATTGTATATAATATAAAAATAAAATGTTAATTTAAAAACAAATAAGTTTAAATAAATTTCCGAAAGAGCAGACAATTAATTGTTTGATGTAACTATTAAATTGTATTTTTTGCTATAAAATGTCCAAAAGCAAGAATATTTTCTTTATCATCAATTATTTTGAAAATGTTTTATTTGATCATCAAACTATGCTGAGAAATAATAATTTTAACATAATCGTTTTGAATTCACAAAAAATAAAATATAGAATTTGGGTAAATGCCAAATTTATAATTAACTGATTGAGTAATCGTTTTCTTTACTTTATATTAGTGATGTCCAACCATTTTTTCTTTTTTTGGTTACTTTGATAATCAATTATCTTAGAGCGGACTACCAAATAAAAAAGTAAGAATAATACCAATATTAATCTAATAATTTTGTATTTTTACACATAGTAGGTATACATGTACATATTGAATATTGTATTGACTTCTGAAAAAATTACAGATTAAGGTACACACTGTAGTTACACACATTAGTTTGATAGTACGCTCTTTTAAGTGCACGGGTTACATCGTGCAATTTCTATTTGAAAATTCTCAAATATAAAATTAATTCATTAAAAAAAAAAAAAAAAAATTGTATCGGGTCACAATGAATACCTTTACGGGCCGCTGGTTTGACGCCACTGCTTTATAACATACAAATTTGACATTCCACATCAACCTCATTCACCATATCAACCATTATTAGACATGCTAAATATTAATATTCTCGCAGTCAAAAGAAAAATAACTAATTTAAAATTCCTATATAAACTGATCAATAACTATATTGTTCTAAATTAATAATTATTTAAATCTTTATGTCCCTCAATGCCAAACTAGGTCCCCTAATATTTTTCGTAAACAATTACAGAAAACCAATTATTTGATAAATACTCCTTTAAATAGAATCATGATTTTAACTACTCGTAATTATATTCAAATGGATTTGTTTAACTTTAACTATGTTAAATATTTTTATAATTATATTATTAGATTTTATAAATGAATTGCTTTTATTATTATATTAATTAACTGTTAAATATTAAATTTTTTTATTTGTATTATTCTCTTTCTATTTCAATTTAGCTTGTTATCATGCTAATTTATAATTATGTTTGGACTTTAGCTAGATTAAATAAATAAATAAATAAATAAACATACATTCGAGTTCATTAAATAACAATACCAATACCATTGTGTGAAGAATAAGTATTTTCGTATTCAATTAACGATTTTTTTCTTCGTAGTACGAGTAATTGTGACATTCTAATTTTTAAAGTTTTAAATTTAACCACCCTAGTATCATCAACTGATTCTCGATCTTCCACTTGTCTAATTTTCAAATCGTATACCTAAACAAATATTGTTATATAATTATGAGACGGTTAAGTAAACTAGAGTTAAACACAAATAAACACAAACATAGAGGACTGAAACGGCCTTCTGGCATTCTATACTATAATACTATACTATATAGTATACTACAGTATAATACTCTTCATTTATTAATTATATCTGCATACTCTACATAACTAAGGATAACTAAAATTGAAAACGTATTTCTCTACACATAGTTTATATTTCGAGATAAAATTAAAATAATTATAACAACACATTTCAACATTAATATTACAATATTAAAGAGTTTTCATTTTCGATATTCAATCTTATCTTTTTTTACTGTTAATTATTTTAAAAAAAAACGTTGAACTTTGTTGCGTTCTAACTTATTTTATATGTTTTTTACTCACTATTAATTTATATTGATTTTACCAAAGATCTAAATAGTAATTACAGCTGTCATTATTAATTACACAAATCTAGAATCTAAACTGATATCTTTTGAATTTATATTAATATTACATTCAAGAAAATAGATATATTATGTACATTGAGTAGAAAGTATAATTTATTGTGACACACTGAATTTGTATATTTGTAGGTATATTCATCGAGTATAAAAATAATTAATATTTTAGAAATAACTGTACGGAATTTATTGTTATGATTTACAGCAAGTATTCTCGGACAGTAAGAAAGTTACATTGCGCTACGCTAACTTACTAATGAACGGTGAATACAAGTGTGAAGTATCTGCTGAAGCACCATTCTTTACAACAGTGCACGCTGAATCCAAAATGGCCATCATAAGTAAGCTCACTTAAATGTTTACATATTATATTTAAATTTCGTAGTACGTATGTGAAACAAATAAGTTAGTATAAAAGGGAAAAAAAACAATTGTTATTTGAATATACTCGGTTTCAATTGTGTATCATTTAATTGTAGAAAGTTAAGGATATTTATGTTTAAACTTAAATACAAATAGGTCAAATTCAAAATATTCAACTAAATTATTTTTAAAATAGCAAATACATATGCATTTAATTTTAATTACTGTATACGAAAATATAAATGATACCCATTAGTTTAATATTATTTCACACTAACCGTTCTTGTATTTCTAAATCCAATTTAATTCTATATAATATAAACAATATGGTAACTCTTTTTTGAACATTTTAAACTTTAAATTTAAATTTCATACAAGTATCAAAATACTCATATTCAACACTTGGTTGCTGTTAAAGTAAATAATTTATATCTTATTTATGAAACTAAATTATTTTCCTACACGACTGATATGTATTCAAAGACGGTAAAATTATCTCATACATTACTTTATAATTATTGTTATTTAATATGAATACAATATCACCAATAACGTAAGTAATTTTTTTTTTTTTTTGAGTGTTTTCAACTAAAAATAATAGCATATAATTTAATTTAAATTATTACCTAGTAAAAATGTATAGTAAAACCGTAGTTGAATAAATTATTTTTTATATAGACCAAAATGTAATTTGTATATTTTGATTAGGATGAGTCATTATTACGTTTACGTGATCCATTAAAGATATATTTTTTTTTATTTTTCTTATCTAAATTGGCAAACTTATAACATTTAAAACTTACTCAACCAAAATATGTAATCTAATAACACTTCATCTATATTATGATCATTTTTAAAGGATATAATAATATAAAGGTATTAACTTAAAATATTACATTATGTTTTTTAAATCAGATAAATCTTAATTTATTATTTTAGAAATGTATAAGATTAGTTCATATCATTAACTATAAATAAGTATAATCACACACGTAATATAGAATTAATTGTCCAATACAATAATATAAGTATGATCGTTAAGTTCAATATTTATCGATTTGTACTAAAATAAATAAATTTAAAAATTATAACCCAACGAAATAATATATTGACCATTGCGTTACTTTAAATATTTTAAATGTTTATTATACATTTTATATTATATTTTCAAATTTATTTCAATACAATTCTTAAGATAATATTTATAATTCAATAATTTCGCTTAATTTCTACTTTTGTGTATTGGTAAAGATTTTTCTTTTGACCATTAATGAGAAAAAAATAACATTATTTTGAAACTCTAATATACGTGTAAACGCAAAATATACTTAAATGTAAAAACTCTAAAAAATAATTGTGAATTAGATAAATGAACACTGATGTGGTGAATGGTAAAATGATTGATCGAAAACGACATGATAACAAATGAGATTAGAAAAAAAAATAAAACATAGTTTTCATATAGGTAGCTCGTGAATGCCTATTAATGATGAAAATTCGTAATACTTTCACCTGCAGGAACAAGGAAGATACGCGAAATCGAATACATCAATGTCTCGAAGAAAACTCATCGTGATAGAGCCGTTAATATTAATTATGTTTTAGTACCTATTCTTCTACTATGTACACATTGTGTGTCCTCGAATTATTTCAGCGACGCCTTCTTACTACAGGGACCTGACAGCGTTATTATTATGATGGCCCCTTGAAAAATGGTCACAGGCTTACATTGCCATATTGCACAATACGTCGATTCCCCTCACCCAATTATTTTAATAGCCCATTCAAAACGAATGTATACGCACTACTATTAAACGTCCGAAATGACTAAGAAAAAAACATGTAACTTTGCACTTTAACAAAACCTTTATTTCGTACCCCGTCTAGCACCCTCTCACTACAATGCCACAAATGGTGCCCCCTAGTTATTTTTCACATTTTAGATATACATTTTTTATGTAACGGATTATAGAATATGTCATTTGTATAATAGTTTGTAAAATGCTGAACCTTCATAATACATTTTTGTTCATCACGTAACATAAAATATCCGTAAATTGACAAAAAAAAAATTATTAAATAAATATAATTACGGAATCATATTTAATATGAAAATTAACTTTAAAATGTTGCGTTTATTATATACTATATAAAATGTAAATAATTTATTAATGATATGGTTATTTTAAACATAATAGAGATTCAAAAATTAACAAATTAAAAAGCAAACAGTTTTCATGTGTAGATTATATATTTTATAGAAAAACCAGAAAAGTATTTAACAATAAAAATATTTACAACGTTTACATAGCTTAAGGCTTTTAAAATAAGTAGTAATGAATCTATATTTCAAAATTATTTGAGTATTGTAACGACAATTTACGGAAAATAAAAATGTTATAGTATATATCCATTATAACCCATGGATACAAAACATAAATTAAATTTCGAAGAACTTAAATTATTAAGTTAGCAAAAATACGTTTATGTTTTTTAATTAAAAGATGTTTTTTTATTTTAAAATAAATCAATTTTATTAAATACCAATAAAAAATTATTTTAGTTTGGTTTAAATTGGTATTTGAGTGAGCCCGAAGCCATCCAAATTGACCTAAGCAACCAGATTACTAAATCTGCTAATCACATAATATAAAATTATTCTAATATGTATACTCAAAAGTATTATTTTGTATTATTTATAATATTTATTTTGAACCGATATTATTTGAATTTCAACAATAATCTTTCTAAATAATTAAATAATATTAAAAATTTAGTTCAAATTAAAAATTATTAATTTTAATTAATTTTATTAAATGGTTAATAGTTATAAATTAATTTATAAATAAATATACAAATAGTTTATATATAAAAATAAATAAATGCTTAGTCTGGAGCCTAGAGTATTATTATATTTGTAAATACAACTAGTTTATTAATTGTTAGATATATTATACAAAATCAATAAAATCGCGACTGTATATGAAAAATAAAGAAAGGAACATAATGCAAAAAGTTGATTGTTTTACAGAGGTAGTTCGTTTTAATAAATTTAATAATAATCTATTAAATAAATGTGTTTAATAAAGTTCTTTAGAAATATAATAATACTCCAGGCTTCAGGCTAAACATTTATTTATTTATTTATTTATTTCTATTTATAAATTATGTAATTATTTATATATTAATCATTCTAAATCCGTAGCTATAAATTGGCGAAAAAACAACTACTATAGAGTTTCTAATGATATATAAATGTATGCATGAGTAATATATAATTAATATAGTTGAAATAAATTACATAAACATTCATTAGCAGAGAAATTATGTTTATATCTTTTTTTAACTTTTAAGAAAAAATGATACCTAAGTGAAATCCGGAGTGTACTCCATAGATCGAAGACGATAAGGGCTACATTACGAGCGCACACATACTAGTGCGTGATACGTGATCGTGATCGTGTCTGTGGATCTATAAATAAAATAATTATTTATTTACGATTTTTGAACAGAAAACCCATAATGCACGGGATAAAACCATCCAGAGTAAATTTATAGTAGAGGCTACTTTTTATTTGGTATAAAAAGAGAACATTATATATGATGTAACGTTTTTATTTTTTCTATAATTTTTTTGAGTAATTTTTTATAGTTTAACAAAAAAGTTTAAATTTTACAATTGTTAACATATAAATAACTTTGATTCCAGCAAAAAAAAATAAAAATTTTTATATCACAATTAATGTTCTTTGCTTTGAAACAAAAAAAAATAGAGCCTCTACAATGAATTTACACTGAATGATTGTATCCCGCGTATAATGTACTTTTACGTTCACTTAATTCGTGCAGATATATTATATATAGTAATAAATTTATATTTAAATTTATAAATTATTAAACATTTAGTTAAATGATAATCTAACAATAACTAAAAATGAATCCCTTTTAAGATACTTAGTAATTAAAAATTCTTATTTGTATTAGTACAACTAAGATAAAATTTCGCATCCCAATTTATTTTCTAGTCATTTAATTAAATCATTTTCAGTTTAGTTAATCAATTATATATTTAAAAAAATGCTTGAAGCATTTAAAATAACAAAATCAAAATATTTCACCTTTTAAAGATGTTAAGATAATTCTTTTATTTACTCAATCTAAAAATAAATATTGATTTATTATGAATGATAATCTTTTTATTTATCGAATTGTATTCAATACATAAATCTCCTTAATTTAAAATATTCTATCATAAATTAATTTATCAAACTAATGCAGTTATATTTTTATTAAAAAAGTAATTAAATAACAAATATTATAAAAAATAATTTTAATTTGTGAAACTAATTGAATATTTAAAAATATAATATTTAAATTTAAAACTTATTTTCAAAACTTAGACCCGGTTTTGTTTTCTCGCCATATTTAAATAAATATAAATTAAAATCAATTTTTAAATATTTAAGTATTCTGTGAAAATGTTAGTATCAAAATAAACGATTAAAACAAAACGTATTCATTATTTATTAAATATTGAAACTAATCAAGACAACCAAAGTTCCTGCATGCATGTACTCCTAAAAGAATTTTTGTTTTAAGTGTATAATTATTTATTCATAGTGTATTCTTATAAATCAATAGATACTTATTAATCAATACTTATGTTATATTCTTCTACTATATAAAAAAAAATGTGTACATCTTTTAACTCAATAGCCATTTCAAGGGGGGGCAATGAGGCAACTGCCCTAGAGTGTTTAAAGTATTATAAATTGAGGGATTACTATAACAATTAATGATAAAAATAAAAATTTGGTGTTTCGCTTAAGAAAAGTATTAATTTTCATATTATACTGAAATGTTTAAGATGAGTAGATTGTATAAGCTATAAAATATAAAATTATATAAATAATGTATTACATGCCCATAATAATGTATAAATATCACCGAAAAATAGAATACTATTGATAAATTATTAATGATTTTTTATAATTTCAAATTATGATTTTTTAAATGCTGTATAGGTAGTTAGAAATAAGTACTATTATTACCATAATCCATAGTCTTGATTTTATGTGAATTTATTATATGTGATTCGTAATAACTATTACAATATTACATAATAATTTAACATTATAATTAATAAGTTGTTTTTATAAATATAAAAGGTAATTATAGTATTTACTCTGAATGCCTATGGTAAAACCACAGAATATATAAATTATATATACATATAAATATAACATTTTAAAATAGAAATGTTATGAATTAATATCAATTGACCCGTGCACTTAAAAGAGCTTACTGATAAAATTAATGTGTAGCTGATCTGTAATATTTTCAATAGTCAATTTATAAAATATGACAAGTTCAATATGTACCTGCATATTGTATACCTACAATTTTGTGTAACAAAATTATATTATTAGATTATTATTGACATTATTCTTACTTTTATATTTGGTGGCCCACTCCAATTGTTTACCAAAATGGTCCACCAAAGAAGAAAGATTGGGTATCACTGCCCTAGGGCATTATTGGTAGTTAGAATAGCACTAATACTAGATATTTTAAATATTATTTATTATTTTATTGTTTTTAGGTTTACCAAAGCCAAAGGATCTGCCGAAAATCAATGGAGGATCTGGAATTTATCAAATTGGTGATACTATTTATTTAAATTGTACATCCGCCAAATCATTCCCCGCTGCCAAATTACGATGGTATATCAATGATGAAATGGTCAGTTTGATATTATGTTTCAACTAAATAATATTTAATAAATTAATAAACCACACGATGTTTCTAGTCAATACAATAAAATATAGATGGAACTAAGTTAATATATAATATAACACAGACCATTTGTAGCACAGTAGTGTAAAATATTACAATACTGCAATTAATTATTCAAAACTAAATTAACAAGTTGTGTTCAAGCCAACATTTTTACAAATAAGTTTGTACTACTGGGCAAATGTTCGTTTTGAATTTTAAAACTATCAAAAAGTTAAAAAAAAATCTTTAATTCTCATTCATAACGAAGTCTTCCGTAATACAAATTTCCTCACAACTTTAAATTCAAGCGTATAAAAAGAATAGCGGTAATTAAAATTACTTTCTGTGTTGGTACTTATTAAACACTTTAAATTATATTTCTAAAATATGTAACCACTAATCAAAAAAAAAAAACAATTTTTTAGTGAGAAATGTCATGCCAAAACTTCAGTATATTCATTATATTTCAAATTTATCAATATCAAATAGTATATTTTACAGCTATAACAGTATAATTGTAAGAATTGAGTTTACATTTGAACTATATTATAAAAATAAAAAATTCAACTTATATTTATTATTATATACAAATATATAATGGTATAATAAATATTGTTTCACTGAATTTAAATCCTTGTTTATAAAAATTACTTTAATAAATCTTATACTTGAGTAATAGTATCATGGTACGATGTGATTTGAATGATAACTACATACTTTAAATTGAAAATTTGTAATTTTTATTAAAAAATATAATGCATAAACATGGAAATAATGCAATACCTACTTATACTAAATTATGATGTATACTTGCATATTTACTGCTTCGATGAGTTTATTTTTAATCAAATTCATGACGTTATGAAAGTAAACTATGTTTTATTTTTAATTAATTCAATATAAAAAAAAAAATTTAAATAAAACAACTAATTACTTATAACTTCAAACGTTTCGATACTTATAAATGTATCATATTACTGTTCCAGTTATCGTGTATCATATATAAGAAGTACATTTACTACGATTAGTTAAAATAAATCATAAAATGTACTTAGTTGAAAAGATAATTTTTTCAGCATTAAAACTAATAAGAATTATATATTATCCATTAATTCATCACAAAGTTATTTTATTTTTGATGTGCGTTTAAAATAAAATGACTGAATAGTGGAACAATAATCTTAGATCAAAGTAAAAAATCTCACAGGAAGTAAACCACCTCAATATGCTGCAATCATATGTGTTTAATAATTTGTGATTTTTGATTAGGTGGTTTCCAATTACGACCGTACAGAAAAATTAAACAGCGGTTTATACATCACCATTTCCAAGTTGAATTTATCAGTAGCTCCCAGTCATTTTCACGCTGGCATAATGAAAGTTGTATGTCAAGCTTCCATCAGTGTGGGACGCCCAAAATCATTACCACCGCCCCAGGAATATAAACGCGATGCAATACTTTTGGGTAAGTGCTGAGTTTCATTATTTAAATCAATTTAAACACTGAATAATTTTGTTACTTCAATTTAAGTATATCTACTTATCGATTTCTTTAATCAATTATTGTTAATTATAACCAATGCATTACCAATTTTCTTTTTCGAAGACAGCCAAAAAATATTAAAGAATATCGGGAAAAAAAACAGTAAAATTAAATTAATTTATTTAAGGTAATTACAATGATATTAAATATAAAGGCATTATATCATTGATAATTTTATATTTTAGCAATTCATATACTTTATGTGTGTTTTAATAAAATATCTAACAAATTTTTGTACTATGAGTTCATGTCCCTGAGATTAGTTTAGTATAATATTCAATCTTCTCTCAAAACTATTTTTCAAACACAATGATTTATTATTATTTTCAAATTTATACAAATAATACAACTATAACACATCCATCTTAGTGACCTCTACAAGGTATGAAGTATGTCATATCTCTCAGTGCAGCCCTCACCCCATCACCAATATTCCGTCTGAGGAGCGAAATGATGAGGGATAAACACTCTGTCATTGTATAAGGTCAACTTTTTCAAATTAAATACAAAATTATTTTATTTCTTCCATAAATACCCATTTAAAATTCTCTCAATTTTCAGTAAATTTAATTTAATTTAAATTTAGTCACATTAAATATAATTATATATGATTATATGTATTATAATTTAATTTTTATTAAGTAATATAAAGATTTTTTCAATATCTAATTTAAAATATAAATGTAAATAAACGTTAAAAATACATACAAAATGTGAACATATCTTTTTAAAATTAAAACACTTTTTTGATCCTTTATCGAATAGCAGTATTATAAATAGTAGCCAGAAATATTTTCAGTTAATCAAATAATATATACCTATGTATAATTACTATCGAAATATTAGGTTTATGTAAGGTTTAATACATTTACAATTAATTTACAAATAAAAAATAACCATGACAAACTAATAAACAATAATGACTTATAATGACCTTTAAAATAATATTAGATAATTTAACATTAAAATATTTTATAAATTATAATGCATAATTACCAAAATAAAAGGATAAGAATTTTAATATCCTATGACTCCTGACAATTTCGCTATATGTTGAAATAACAAAATTAATTTCAAATTCTTAATTTTAATATTTACTAAAAGGAAATGTTATGGATCTTAAACCTCTCTAATTTTTTTGGCTATTACTTCTATGCATTAATCACTAATGAGATAATCGTTATCTCTATATTTATTTATTATTTAACTTCATGGAATTACGTAGAATTAAAACTTTTTAAATAAAAGATAAAGATAAATGAGGTCACCGTAACATAATATTGTAAGAAATATCAGTATATAAAATACGCCTACTTTATTCTAAAAAAGGAATTTAAAATTTAAATGTTAGGAGATGAAATTATTTGAACAAATAACGTAAAAGAAAATTAAAAATTCTAAAAATGCTAAAAATATTTGCTCCAAAATTATCACCTAAATTTAGCAACTGATAATTTACGTTCTGTTCGTTCTAAAACCTATTATATGTCAGAAAAAAATTATAAATTTACAAGTTTACTTATTTCAATTTGAAATAATTGAATACTAATATTTTAAATTTTAATATGACAATGATTTCCGTATATGAAAATATTTTTGAATGGAGCTTGATTAATCAAAAATAGGTAATCAATGTTTTTTTTAAATTCGGATATTATATAAATTTCTTTGAAATCATATTAAATGTTTCAAAATATTTTTTTTTTTTTTAAATGGTGGTAAAATTAAAATAATATTGCAATCTACACAATGTCATTTATAGTGAAAAAATTAATATTAAAAAATCAAAGTTGGTTGAAAATATATAGTTTATCGGTATTTTCTGATACTTATTAACTAATAAAGCTGATTATGTTGTATAATAATGTATTAATTTCACTAATTTGTTCAAATTTATAGTGAAACACGTTGAAACTATTATAAACTCAAAAACCATTTAAAAGTTATATAATATATAATATATAATATTGCTTGAAATTAATAATTGTACATTTTTATAATTTAATAGAAACCTACAATACCTACAGAATAGTTATTTTAAACTAGAAAATACAAATGTTTAGAATATTATTATCATCATCAGTATCAAACACTGGAGTTAAAAATATAACGTCTGATTAAATATATTTCAATTATAAAATAATAAAAGTCAAATTAAAAGACACTTTATAAAATAATAGAGGAGGATAAAATAAGGTTGTCTTTTATCACAGTTTCTTTTTAATGGCTCTATAGAAAAACCAATTCAAAAACACAACGTCAAATTATGAATAAGTTAAAATAAGGATAATATTCATCACAAGGTTTTTAAACAATAATGTTTAAACGAAAATAAATAAACGTTTCAAAAAGTCATAAATTATACTTTAATTCAAATTAATATAATAAGATCAATTTACAAAGAAGGCTAGGACCAAAATAGAAAACAAATATTCTAATAAATATGCATTTTTGCGTTGTGACTACACTCAAAAATCCATAATCTATAATTGTATTAATTCTAAAATATTTATTAATCATCCGTTCCTACATAATCAATACTATTGTTTAAAATAGGAATATTTGCAACAAATATTTTTCAATATATATTTTCATCTTTTTCTTAAACTTTTTATGGGTCTTTTAGGCTCATTTTTCCCAATTATCAACATACATTTAATATTATCTATAATATAACCCAAACAAATAATTGTAATTTAAATATTATTAAAAAAATCCATAAACGTATTAAAGAAAAAATAAAACACAACTCACCAAATAATGTTGTTAATTATTGTAGTATAAAATATCAAAATAATATATCTAACAATTCGCTAAAATTCTAAACAATAATACTAATAAAGTTAAAATCACTTTTAAAAAATTTATAATCTAATAAAATATATAAATAATATGGCTAAAAACTTTACAAAAATTCCCTTTCTTTTGAAAATGTTGGTATATATAAACTTAAATGTAACAGTAATAAATTTTATATATATAAGACAAATATAGATTTTAAAATAAGATATAATCACATTTCTAAAATAAAATTTAAAAAGACTGTTTCTAATTCAAATATGCCTCAGAAAATCTCATAGATTTAAATTTAAATAAAAAAATAAAAATAAAATAACCATTATTACAAGTATACATATTGATATCAATACCTTTATTTATGTCTAATAACAACTCATTTTCAATAATCTCTTCAATAAAAATAAATTATCTTTAAATAAAATGAACAATTTTTCTCGTTGTTTTATTTCTTTATTTTTTCATATTTATTAGCTAATTTATTGATTTTGTTTATGAAAAATGAATTCCTAATTCGAAACCAATCATGGTACTTTACAAATATAAAAATACTCCAGGTTAGGTATTTATAATTTATGTATTTATATTTTTCTATATATAAACTATTTGTTTATTTATTTACGAGTATTAACCATTTATTAATTTTTAATTTTTATTAATCCCTAAGCATCAGAATTCTGCCAAATGAGACTCTTTCATATTTCATATAATGAGATTTAAACTGTTATTATAATTAATAAATTGATAAAACACATCTAGTAGTATAATTTAAGTTGTAATCATCGTTTCAAAAACTTTTATCGGAATCGGTTTGGTACATGAATTAGGATGTCTGTGGATCATGTATTTTAAATTGAAAGTAATAATAAATCATCGAATCCGTAAACAAAAGCCGGTAGGGAATTCAAATGACTGCAAACATAGAACACGAAATAACATGGATAGTACTTAAAATAAAAGGTTTTATTCTTATTTCTTACAATACTATTTAATTACTATAAAGTTTTCAATTTTATATGATCAATTTTTAATTGTAATACATACAGTTAGATAAAAAATGTAATCATTCTGTATGTAATAGTATAAACAATACAAGTTAATTAATAGTAAACCAGTACCTGTCAAAATACTATAAAAAGTTTTCACTTCCAATTAAATTCAATCGTTATCGCCATTCGGTAATATCAAATAATCTGTTAGCATACAAACAAAATAAATAGTAATTAAACATACGTTTTTACGTCGGACAGACTGCTGTTTATTAAATTTAATAAATTGATAAACATTATTTATAAAAATATACAATTGTCGTTCAAATAATAACGTTGGATAGTATAAAATCAATGAATTGAAAATATAACAATTGTTTAAAAACTTAAATCTGTAATTCTTATTTTAAACACATTTCAACCATAATTTCATAAAATCCATTATTTCCCATTCGACAAAAAGTTATAATAAAATCAGTACGACTGACAAGGTGAGAAATTCCTCTGGTTTAAATTACCATAATATTTTCAATTAATGACTAATTATACAGTTATACAATTATTTAAGGTCTTAAAAGCTTTTCGTCACTAATTAAACCGAAAAAAAAGTTGTACGATTCTAAAATACTGACATTTGCATATACCACGAGATATGTGTCTAATACGGCGACGTAATTGGAAAATGTTGATTCTAACTCCTTTTCTCCTTGTTTTACCTAAACGTTATAATAAAAGAACAACGGAACAAACTAAATGTGATACATTTCATAATTTGTATTCGCTCTAATTTAAATAATCTATTGTTAATAATTTGAAATTTACGGTGACGATTTATATTTATTTTCAAACATTGATTTTAATCATAGATATATATTCTAAAGCTGGTTTATTTGTAATAAACATCGAATAATTACAACCATTAAGCTGAGCGCTCACCAAAGTAATGTGACGTATAAGAATGGCGAACGACGTCGCTGGTAGCATGCGACTTCGTACCAAAATAATGCAACCAATAGATTTAACGCTAACCAAACTGATATGGCAGTACTACAAACACTATGACAAATGACATGTTACATCGGCGTCATTCAAATTCAGCATATTCCATCTTATGCCGCGTGCTTTATTGTTCTAGTG